ATTCCTTGGTGTTAAAAAAATAAAAATCGTGGAATTGACTGTATTTAAGGAATCAGAACATAACAGTCAGCAATACATTGGTTATTGGCTGCAAAATCTTTGTTTACTTCTCAAACTGTCTCTTATAAATTCTCAAGTGGGAAAAAAATAAATCACTCCAGAAATTTTATACAAAATAAATTATTAATATGTCTAAAACATAAAAAAGGAAAGGGGAGGTACTTCAAGGCAGGAATTACTTGCATTGTGCAGTGACCCTGAAAAGAGCCTATGAAATTCTCGTATTTTTCATTCTCAGGCCAATAATGATTTTATATTACATAATCAAATTCTAAGAGATGGCTTAGGCATCCCTGATGTTTAGGCATTTTCCTATAACCATTCTGTAAACGTTGGACAATCTATTTCATTATGAGGGAATTCTACAGGATCCAATAATAGAAAAAAGCAGCCCTATCTGTGGAGGAGCCTTGGTACTTCTGTTAATGCTGGACACCATGTTAAGTGATTCAAGCTCAAGCGCTGATAAGGGACCATCTGCCTCTGAGCTTTGTGTTTATCCTGGAGAGATAATGGGTGGTTTTCCACAGTGAGACACTCCTTACCTTCCTCACACAGACCTTCCTTTCCCATAATGCTCTGTGTTTTTCTGGCCTAGAATTCTTTCTGGTCACAAAAGAAAACCGAAATGAAATGATGCTAGCTGTTGCCTCATCAAAGCTAAGAAGATAAAATGATTTAACTGCTAAAGCACACGCTGGGGGAAGTTCAACACAGTCGAGAGTGGCTTCAAAGACTCAAAAACAATCTGAAAGATTCTAAAAGAAAATTCTGTTTGTTGTCGTTCTTATTTTTAAGGAAGGGAAAGAAAGTTGTCTAGGGAAACATGCATGATTGGTGCTTGTAGAAGATAAATCATTGACTAATTGCAGTCATGGAGTAATAATGGTATTGAGTCTTGGGCGAGCTACTCTGTGGCCAGGACAAATAGCTTGTAAATTTAGCTAACACTTAATAAAGTATGCAAATAATTATTTTCCAACAGATCAGTGCCAGTACTATGATACCAATATGTGTCATGTGTGAACTGGACACCAAACCTAGTCTTCTTGTTTACTGCTGTTACTAAGATTTGTTTTTTTCTGAATCCTATTTTGAAAACTGCAAAGATGAATTAAGGTTGGAGAGATGTTCAGCAATTAATTAACTTGCTGATCTTGCAGAGGACCTGTGTTTGGTTTCCACCACCCATTCCAGAATGCTCACACCCTCCTGTAACACCAGTTCCTGGGACTCTGACCACTTTCTGGCCTTCATGGGTATCTGCACATATGTGGCATGCACTGACACATACACATAAATATTCTTTAAAACTTCAATAAATAATTGACCTTGTAATAGCAATTGACTCCCTGAAATGTAAGCCAAAGTTAGTCCTAGCACCTTGATGAGTTACATGCTAATTCCATAGACAACTACCAAATCCTAATTCACACTCCTTAAATGCTAATATAAAAAGGTCTCAGATTCCTCCTGGGAACAATAATTCTTCTTATCAAGGCCCTCCAGATGTCCAGAAATGTTACATTTTAAAAACCTGTCATTTTAATTCTGAAACTAAAGTTATTTCAAAAAGCACAGCTGAAATAAATCTGAATTATTTTAAATATTTTTAAGAGAACAACTACCATGGAATTCCACCCTCTTTAGTTCCAAGAGCTTAAATGAAACATTCATGCATTAAATTCAAAGGCTGACTGTCAAATAACTTCACTTTAATAAAAATTTGAATGATGTGCCTTAGGGCATTATTAAATATCAAATAAAAAGAACACATCTATAAATCTGATTTCCGAGTATAATTTTATGTAGAACTACGAATACATTTGTATTATACATTTCAAGACAAAAGGATAAAAATACACTCATAAAAGGACAAAATCTGAATTAGAAATTTGGAGGGATTTCCCCCTTTGAAAAAAGATATCTCAATTGTAATTAGTTAAAAACCTAGAAAAAGTAAATGTCATCTTTCTGTCAAATAATTAAGGATCTGGAATATACAAAATCTCATTAGCACTATGAGATTTCTATCTCTGTGTGAGAAAGACAGAGGGACAAAGGTCACACAGAAAATAGTGACGGTTGTTTAGATACTCAGGAGGAACTCTGGTTTAGACTTGCTATGAATCAAACACCCAAGGCAATAGTATTATGTCATTAAAAGTGTCATTTACAGTTAATTATATTCACAAGAGAGTGCCAGCGATGGTCTGGAAAACCTCCGAAGTTACCACTCACCAGGCCCTTACACCTCTCCATGAGCCTCTTCTGTGGCCCTCTCCTCTTCCCTCCTCTCCTCTCCTCTCCCCTCCCCTCCTCTCCTCCACTGGGCTCTTTTTTTCAACTTCACGGCCGTTTACACCCTTCTGGTTACTACCCTATTCCTCGTTTAAAAATGAAAGCAAGGCACAAACAGGTCCAGTCTATAAATCCAGACTTCCTTCTTCATGCAAAACACCCTCTCTTAACAAAACCAGTTTCCCTGTGTGTTCAGGGCTGCAGTCTTCCAAATTTCCAATTCTTCAGTACCAAGATCTGTCCCCAAGAACAAACTGGTCAGCTGCACCCTCTGCTCCTTCCCTGTACACAAAGACAAGTTCTGGTATCTCTTGTGATCGAAATGAAATCTATCCCAGGATCCTGCCTCACCTGACATAGTTGATCATGATAAATACATAAGGTACACATGTATAAAATGTCACAATGAATACTGTTAATCTGTGTGCTTGATGTGTTGGTAGCTCTTTTAGGAAGACCAGTAAAGCCAGACAGAGTTAATGCACTAAGGCACTGTAGCTCACCCTTCTGATGGCACTGGAAGTACTTTGAGAAACCACTTGGTAGCCATTTCTAAAGTTAAACAAACACCCTTTTGAAAAGTGCCCAGGGTGTGGTACCTGTAACACTACCCCTCTAGTAACTTCAGTCGTGGAAACATGCACCCTTCATTGCCAAGCCACTCACAACATCAGGGTAGAGACCTCAGCTGAGCTGCTGCCAGAAAAAGGGAGCCTTCCAGTCAAGCTGCGTACATCAACTTTTCAGCTTCACTGTTCAAGAAAGGGACTACTTTAGGGAACGAATGACCCAACTTTCTTGTCTTTTGATTAACTATACTGTGAAGGCCCATATAAGATCTCATAACTACTTGGTGAAATAACCCCTCTGATACATTTCAATGCCACATACATTTTTCCTCTATGCCAAATTCTTCCATATTTTATACAGACTAATTTTTCTGATTCTTAAGTTAGATTTTCAACTTCATGAATTAAGAAATTTCCAGGAGGTTGGGAAAGCCTGCCATTGGGCATGCATGGGAAAGTGCTCGCAGACCACTAGACCATGGGGACTCAGATCTATCCAATGGACTAATCCTTTGACAGATTCATAATATGATGGAATTGATAGAGAAGATGAGAGATAGGAGCAATGCCTGCATGGAGGAAGAAGATGACTAAAGAATGTCCTTTGGGCTCTGTCCTGTGCTGGCCTTTTTCTGTGTGCTTCCTGTCTCCATGAAGGTCCTCTATCACAAGGCTGTAGCACCATCATGTTCTTCCCGGGCAGACAAGAGGAACAACCATGAACTGGACTCTGAAACCCTAAGTTAAAACAACTCCTTTCTCCATAAGTTGTTCCCAACAGATATCTGTTCTGAGCAGTGAGAACATTAACCAGTCATCTCTACATCTCTACCCATGAAACTTTAGCAACCTTCCTATCAGCCCACTATTATGATAGACAGGTATCTCTTTATCAAGATGTTCTAACTCCAACTCTTTATCTTTCTGAACCCAAAACAACCTCCTCCAGCTTTCTTGCTGTTATTCAATTGAGTCCTACCCATGGTTTCCTAAGACCCAAACATTAGTAATTAACCTGACAATTCCATCTCCTGCTACCCTTACCCAGTTCATCACTGGATATCATCTACAATTTCTGTTTCAGATGCATTCCCTACTCTTCATCACCACTGTTTCTAATCTAAGATCCAGGCCTCCATGTCTCTCACTTTGGCTACCCAACATATTTCTAAAATCTTTCTACTCCGTCTATGGTTCACTTTAATTCGACCTGTTCAATTTCTTCTTAGAGTGTTCTAATAAAAAGAGACATGAAATAAAGTCCATCCCCTGAATCAAAGTCTTTACAGGTTTATTGATATGTCCACAAATAGTGTGACTGACATCTGCCACTTGCATCTAACCTACCTCACCCTGTATTTCTATACTCCAAACACATGAGGCGTTCCTTTGGGGACCTCAGTGGACCCACACCTTACCTCCCCATAGCCAGAACACTTGGAAGCCTTCACAGAAAGATGTTTCTCTTCCTAGATGTTCCTCTGGCACTTCCTTAGTTCATCTCATTCACACAATGTACTAATTACCATTTGCAACTGTGGAATTTTGAGTGCTATTTCTCTACTGTCAGACTTCTTATCCCAGACTCCAGGATCTATGAGAGCAGATATCATGAATGCCTTTCCCTGGGCACACCTACAATCAGTGAGAAAATGTTCTCAATAGTGATTTTGGACTTAGTTCATTTTAGCCCTTTAGCTCATCTACTTTGAGGTTGGGCCTAAAGCACCCTTGGACTTTCTCTTTTTAACATCTGAATTACTATATACTTCTTCCCACTCCTAATGATGGTGCATTTGCTGGATTTCATCATCTCAAATTACGAGAAGTGGAAGAGTAACTACACTGGCCAACTGAGAAAGGAGAGGAAACGAGGCTGGCTGCTTCATATGTGCAGTTCTGAGGAACTTCCAATTGACCTGAAGTCAAACCAGGTATAATAATGCATGAAACAAAAAGGACCACCTGATTTATCATTAATGGGGTATGAGAATGCATCAAAAACATATTAAAATGAGACTTTGGGATACTGGGTTAAGGTAACTTGTTTCCTTGTCTAATCTCACATACCCTGATGCAGATGAGCTTGACCGCAGTCTCGCTGCCTACTGAAACGCGGCTCGAATGACTCTGTCACTCAGGGGCTGGGTAGGTCGGAAATTGTCTCCCAAAATTCCATCACAGCCTTCTACAAGCTCTGCCCCCTTAACGTGTGTTCTCAGCCTTCGGAATTCTTCTATCTGAAAAGAGAAGCAGAAAAAAGGATTAGTCACTAGCCACACATTCACAAGTTCACAGATTCATGAACAACTTAAAATGTGCACAGATGACAGTGTTAGAGAGAAAATGACAGGTAAACTTCAAAAGGAGAAAAACAGAGCCGGAGAGAGCTCAGTGGGTAAGAAAGAATTTTGCCCTTGCTGAGGGCCTGAGTTCAGTGCCCAGCACTTACATCAGGCACCTCACAGCTGCCTGAAACTCCAACTCTAGGGATATGTCGCCCACTTCTGGCCTCCAGAGGTACTGTACTCACAGAATGCATACACACACACACACACACACACACACACACACACACACACTAAAATAACAATAAAAAATAGAGCAAGAAAAGAGATTTGGTTGTTCCAGATCTAAGGATATGAGACAAGGCCTTTAAAGGAAGACAGTAGGAGTCCAGGTAACTCCAAATCAGTAGAAACCTACTGAGTTTGTTAATGTGAAAATCCTAACATAAAAACAATTTTTGTATCAACTTAAAGCACACATACACAGAAAAGGATAAAGAAAGGAGTAAATGTTGCTAAAAATTTCCCAAGTGCACTCCTACCCAACATGCTCAGATGCCACTATGTGTCAGCACTGGTTACTTGCTAAAGTTGCTACAAGAATTCATGAATTCATGAGGTATCTTTGCCAGGCAGTCATTTGACAGAGGATTATAGGGCCTAGAATATATAAAGAACCCCCTAAAATAGTAAACATTAAGAAAATAAACAACCTGCCAGGCAGAGCCAGCTGGCGCCTGGTCTACAGAGTGAGTTCCAGGACAGCCAAGACTACACAGAGAAACCCTGTCTCAAAATACAAAAACAAGAACAGAAAAGAGAAACAAAAGAAAGATAAAAGGAAAGAAACAACCTAATTTGAGAACAGCCTATGGGAACTGAAAAGACTACTCAGCAGCTAAGAGTTCAAACTGCCCTTACAAAGGCTCTAGTTTAGTTCCCAGCACCCACATCACTAGCTGCAAAATCATCAGTAACTCCAGCTCTAGAAGACCTGACACCCTCTTCTGGACTCCAGGGGCACAGGCACTCACACGCACATACCCACACAGAGACACATACACATAATTTACAAATAAATTAGAATTATTTTTTAAGATGGGCTATGAACTGAACAGAGAATTGTCATGTGTGTAAGAAAGACCTTAAGAAGCAACCCTTAATTAAGACTCAACATCCTTAGGCATTAGGGAAATGCAGGCTAAAACCACTTTAAGATTCCATCGCTCCGAAGTTAGAATGGTCATACTGCCTTCATCAATAACACCAACAATTAACAAGTACTAATGTGGATATGGCAAGGGGAATTCTTGTGCGCTGCTAGTGGGGGCGTAAACTAATGTGACCACTTTGGAAATAAATCTGGAGGTTTAAAAAAAAAACACAAGAAATAGAACTACCATATGATCAAGCTGTATCACTTTATCACTTCTGGATATAAACCCAAAGAACTGTATATCCTACTACAGACATGCTTGCACATCCATGTTCATTGCTCTTCTATTCGTAATAGATAGGAAATGGAATCACACCAAATGTCCATCAACCAATGAATGAGTTTAAAAAAAAAAAAAACTATAGTCCACACACACACACACACACACAGTGGGATAATGTTCAGTCGTAAAGGAAAATGGCATCTGCAATGAAACTGGAAAGATTATACTAAGTAAGGTAGTAACTCAGACCCAGAAAGACACAAGAGGGGGACGGGTAGGCTGTGGTCAGTTGAATGCAATTGGCCCCCATAATCTCATAGGCAGTGTCACTATCAAGAGGTGTGGCTTTGTTGGAGTGGGCGTAGCTTTGTTGGAGGAAGTGTGTCACTGTGGGGGTGGGCTTTGGGGTTTCCTATGCTCAGGATACTACCCACTGTCTCAGTCCACTTCCTGTTGCCTTCAAGATGTAGGACTCTCAGCTACTCCAGCACCATGTCTGCCCACATGCCTCCATGTTCCCCACCATGATGATAATGAACGGAACCTCTGAGACTGTAAGCAAACGCCATCAATTAAATGTTTTCCTTATGAGAGTTGCTGTGGTCATAGTGTCTCTTCACAGCAGTAAAAACCCTAATTAAGACATTAACATAAACAGCTGCCAGCTGTTAGCTGCTCAGGAAGGGAGAATCACTCTTGATGGAGAATATGACCACAGTAGGTTTTCCATGCTCTAATGGATGGCTCTGTACCCATGCACTTATGGGTAGTGCTAATTGTACTTATTAGATTATCACAGAAGAGGAAGAGGAGGAAGAGGAAGAAGAAATGAGGTTTGGGGGGATATGAGTAATACTGGAGAGTATGTATATGACTCTTCCATTATATGCATGTATGAAATGTTTAATTAATTAATTAACTCATGGTTTCCCTCATCAGAATACTGCCCCTGCCTCTCCTCTAGCCCTGTGGAGAACCCGAGTATAAAGGACTCTGGGGCTCTTCAAATGTCTAAGCCCATCTTCTGTTCTTAGCAATTCTTCAGCCCATCTCCCATCTCAATAATCTCTTGCTTGGGACACGTGGAGGTTTCCAGGCTTCTGAGGCCCTTGCTCTGACCCTGTCAGGTTTGAACCCCATGTGAATGTGAGAATGTGAGAAAAGCTAAAACAGGGAGCAGAAACCGTCATGTGCATCCCCCAAGCCCATGCTACCTGAGAAATCCACAGCATCGGTTAACATCACTAAAACACTACACAGCAATATGAAATGGGTCTTTACGTGCAGGAGGAAACTGGGGCCAGAGAAGCCAAGAAAATCTCCACATTAGCCATTGCCCCAAATCTTACTGTTCCAATCCACCTGGCTCTTCCCAGTGCACAACAACCATGTCAGAAGTTCTAGTCAGATGGGTACAACTGTGCCCTTCACGGCCATGGTACTGAGCACTGTGGTCTGAACAACCACCCCAGTCAACATTGTTAAACCAGAAAGCCTGTGGCTACAGAGGTCTATAACACAAGAATTCTGTCTACAGTGCAGGAGGTCAACTAACTCAGGACTTCACACTAAAATCTCAAACATAAAAAGGGCCAGGAAATCTTTAAATGACAGCCAAAGCCTAGGAGTGTGTTCTCCTAAGCCCCCCAGCATCCCAGTTCAGTCCACTCCCTTAAGTGTTGGAACACAGCTGGGGAAAATTAAATGAGGGATTAGACTAGCAGCCTGATTGCAAAGATGACCTGTAATGTATTATTTTTCCATGTCTCCAAATACTGATTGATTTTTTTTTTTAAGTGAGGGAAGTCTGGACCATCTGGAACTGCCCTGTTGATTTGCTCGTCTACTGTGCTTACATAAAGGGTTTACATAGCAGTGCTAGTCAGGTAAGCAAGGCGCTATTAAATCAACATTGTTTTTTCACTAGATCTTCTTGGGGTCTCACACAGAGCCCTCTGCCTAGGGCAACTGAATGCTTTCTAGGACTGAGGCTTCTGTCAGTGTTTGCTTTTCCCTTAACGTTGGTTCCCACGGATAGAGATGGAAAGACCCCGGGGGCACAGAATCCTGCTCTATTTCAAAGAGAATACAGTGATGAGGGAGTGGGCTTGCATCCACATAACCGCCATGGTCTCGTGGCTCTTGCTCCCTGGGACCTAAATGACCAAACGATATCACCTCTTGTGCCCCAGTTCCCTCCGTGCAACAGAGATGACAATGATGGCAGTAACACCGAGGAGACATAAACGGCGAAGAGTCCATGCACAACCACTCAGCATCGCTCAGCCGTGCCCCACAAATACTAATTACTAACAAGCCCCCAACTGTGCAACTTCATTATCTGTCAAACCTTGCGTACTGGAGATCAGTCTTTGGCTGAAGTTGATAGCGAATCAATCCGATTGGAAAGCTTAAAGCCCCGCCTCTCAGCATACACTTTAAACTAGATGAAGAAACTGCAAAGTCCATGACCCATGGGGAGGGCAAGTGACAAGCAGTGCGGACTAGAAACTTAGCTGCCCAAGCACATCATAGGAACTCTGACATTTTTCACTGACTCTGAAGCTTTTAAAAACTCCATTAATTTTATGTTTTCTTTTCCTAAGCTGAAGGCTCATCCTTCAAGGCCGGATCTCAGCCGGGAGCATGTTCTGTGGAAAATGAAATCTTGAGAGGAGACGGCACCAGACGCCAGTCTCAATCATTTCACTCTGCAGGCGACTACTTCACTTCAAGAGAGAGATTCTCCCTGAGCACGGTGACACTGAAGAATTCAAACATCAGCTGAGATGGAAGGGAAACTCCTCGTCTTGCTGAAATGTCGTTTTTCTGAAATAACCACCCCTCAAAACCCTTTATCGGTTTAAATGGTTTCCAGTGCATGTGGAATCAGCCCAAGCCAAAACGAGAGGCTATGATGAATGAGTAATGTTTCAAGATAACAGCCTTAAACTCAGAGAGCAGGCACTAGAGACAATCACTACTGCAGGGAAGCAAACATGTGGGATAGATCACCATATGGAACTGAAACATGCCGTTCATTTTTAAATAACCTGAAGTAGAGAAGATGATGAGGATGGAAAAGACCAGAGACATGAGTGGGTGTCCTGTACCCTGGTAGAAGCCCCATCTCCCGAGGATGGGCTTAGCTGAACAGCTGCTGCCAGAGATGCAACCCAACTGGTCTAAGGCATCTAGTCAACCTATTCAACCTCACAGACACCCAAACCAAACTGCTGACTAAAGCCCAACTCTAAAACTGTTTCATTCTGAGAAGTGCATTCAAGAGGCTAATTTCCATGATTTGCAGTTTGAGGCACATTATCTTACAGGAGATCCCAAGTTCCAATGGCCATCCAATCTAACCAACTTATTTTGATTGCTATTTCCTGTGTCATCCTGCTACAAAGAAAACAATACACTGAAGTCAGTGTCACCTATTAACTCTTCCACCATGGACATTTTAGTGTTTCTGTGTGTACTGGCTGGTCTTGTGTGTCAACTTGACACAAG